CAGCCGCCCGGAGTCCCAAAGGGCAGATTCAAACAGCTGTTCACCAGGGAAGGGAGGGGGTGCAGAGACAAGGGGGGAGCAGTCAGCGCAGACTCGGGGGGGCCCTGGTTACCAAGGCTGTCACTGCCCCCAGGACCATACGTGCCCCCGCGCCTCCCTCAAACAGAAATTGAATATTACTCTGATCTGAGCCTCAGGAGGCAGCTGCAGAGAAGAAACAAGAGCTGGTTAGAACCAGCGGAGCCCAAGATGGTGCTCAAGCCTCATTATCCGCTCACTGTACGTGTTAGCAGCTAAGTGGCATGCCCCCCCCACCCCAGCGCCATGAAAGCCACCTACGAGGATGGAGACAAGGGCGGCTGGCCCCAGCACCGCCCAGAGCAAGGACTTGACGGCAGGAGCTACCCATCAAAGTCCACGTGGCGAGAGCCGCGGCCGGCGCTGTCCCCACCGGCCACCTCGGCCAGCGGCTCCCCGCTCGGGCATCCTGCCTCCCTTCTCCCCGCTGCAGGGCTGTCTTCCCGCTCCCTCCTCTGAACAATAAAGTGGCTGTTCACTTGGTCCCTCTGCCTCCGCTGGGAACGCATTCTTCCACAGTCGATGGCAAGGACCTGCACATGGGTGGCTTCCTAATTTAGAGGGTCCCCCATCTATCAATGATACGACATCCATTTGTGAGAGCGGCCAGCAGGTAGGACCTGAATCCACCTTGGGCTCCCCAGTAACTCCGTCCGGGATGCGAGCCCACAGGACTCCCTGTTCCCATCCTGGTCCCTTGTCCCTCCTCCATCACAGAAGCTGACCATCCCCCCCACACACACACACACTGAGCTTCAGGGAGCCTCAGAGGACCAGGGCCAAATGCCACCCACAGGCTGAATTCCTCCAGGGGGCAGAGGGAACCAGGCCACAGCCACACAAGGGTCTGGAATTCACGGGGGGAGTCATTAAGTGCTGAGCGACAAGGAGGCTGATGAGAGCCCAGCCTTGAAGTTGGGGAGATCTGGGTCAAAATCCCCGGGACTGAGCCGGGCCACAGCCCCTCACACCTCCAAGCTTCAGCTCCTCGTCTGTGGAGGGGATCCAATCCTGAGAGCCCCTCGGGGGGCACGCGCAGAGCACCAGACACCCGGCTTCCTCCGCCCGAAGCTCCCCACCTTCTCTCTCGGCACGCCTTGCTCTGCCACACCGTCTACACTCAAACCCGGGCCCCCCACACCTGCCCTCGATCAGCAGAACCAGGAGACGCATCTCTGCCTGGAACTTCTCCGACAACAATCCTAGAATCTGGGAAGGGTTCTCACTGCCCTGGTTAACCAGGAAAAGGCCCCAGGGGTTCATATGATGTAACCCTCAGTGGTGACCCTTCCCCATCTCTGTGTCCCTCTGGCACATGCAGGGCAGAAGGCCGGTGTGACTGCAGCCCCGGGCAAGAATGTGGAGGCGGACTGAGAGCACTGGGTCCGCACTGCATCCCACGTGGGTTCCCACACCACACCTGGACCAGGTGTGACGGCTCCCCTGACAGCAGGTGTGAGGCAGAGCTGGGTGGGGCAGAGAGAAGCTTCCAGAAGCAAGGTGAAGGGCACCGCGGACAGGTCAGGCCATGCTCCCTTGAGGTGAATCTTCCAGGGGGCTTTGTGCAAAGCAAGTGGTCAAGACAAATGTGAGGGAGCAACACTGTTGGTTGGGATGTAAACGGTGCGGCCACCATGGAGAACAGCACAGAGGTTCCTCAAAAAACTAAAAATAGAACCACCATATGATCCAGCAGTCCCACTCCTGGGCATATATCCAGAGGGAACCCTAATTCAAAAAGACCCTGCACCCCAGTGTTCACAGCAGCACTATTTACAACATTCAAGACGTGGAAATAGCTTAAATGTCCATCAACAGATGACTGGATAAAGAAGATGTGGTATATTTGTACAATGGAATACTACTCAGCTGTCAAAAAGGATTAAATAATGCCATTTGCAGCATTTCAGAACGGCAGGGCCAGCATGGACACGTGGACACTTGCAGAAGGTGATGCGGGGTCCTGGGGGGCCCAGGACCTCACCCACCACGTGCCCGGGGGACACAGCTCTGATGGGGTGGGGCAGGCCCTGCTGTGACGTGAGAAATGAGGGAACTTCTTGGTTCAGAGCTCTGGGGGTTTTACAGCTGCAGACAGTGGGTTGTAGGCCTCAATTTATAAGACCCCAAAGACCTCTCATTCTTGGATGACTTAAACCCACACCCCCTCCCCTGCCTGGCTCTTTGGGCCAGACACTCTGGCCTCTGGTCCCCAAAAGAGCACCATTCCCAGGCCTGCCTGGGCACCACCCCCAGCTCTGGGCACTTCCCCGGGGAGGTCCCTGGCCCCCGGCTCCTCTCCCGCTGTCTTATTTGCTTCAGAATCATTGTTATTATTCACGACTCTTATTCACCACTTTTGCCACGTCCACCTGGCCCACTGTCAGCACCGACACCGCACATGGCATCCGGATGGTGTTCCGTCAGCATCCAAGGAATTAAAGCTCACGGCCCTGGACCGGACTTCCTCCAGCCCCCACACGCCGGACACCACAAAGCCCCTTCCAGCAGGGAAACTGAAACACTGTGTGACTTCCCGCAGGGCCGCAGGGCGACAACTGCACAGTTTAAAGGAGGAACCTCAAACAGTGACGCCGCCCATCCCTGCCCCTCAGCCCGCCCCCACGCCAATCTGCTGCTCGGATGTCATCACTGAAGCCGAAAGCCGGGGATGCAGAAGCCCCCGGGCTCTCAGGTGCCTGTGCGTGCAGGAAAAACCCCGAGTTTGCAGCGACTCACGCGCTGAACCCCACACCTAATCCAAGCCACAGCCTTCAGCGAGCGGCTAGAAGGGGAAAATGATCCGTTCATGGAAGATCTTAAGAAGAAATTCTCCCCCTATAAAAAGTGGGGAGGTTTATCTAATTGGCTGTAACCGCCGGTTACTCAAGAGTGAACTCATTGTAAATCATCGGCTCTTCTGAGAAATTCTGGAACGCGCGTCTGATTTTCCAGGAACAGAGGATGAGCGCTGCCAAGTCAAGTGCTGGATTCTTCCGAGAGCACGACACGGCCCTCGGAAG